CCCTTTTTTCTGCCAATACTTTTCAGAGTGAGAAAGTAATAGTTTCTTTGTACTTGTACTGTGCTTTTATCGAGGTTACCTGATTCTTGATAACGTTTAACAAGCGTTGTCCCTTTCTTCCCTTTGTTTATAATCATCTTATAGCTATTCAACGTCTGATTTTCCCTCTGTTGTTGGAATTGTTGGAATGGTCGCCAGGTGCTGTCCAAACATGTTGAAGTTTTTGTTCTTAAAATGCAACACATTTGATTGCAAATCTGAGACCAAGAAGTACGTGTACCACTGGCTGTCTCGAGTGTTCTGTTTTCTGCCAATTCTCTCCCCTTTTCTCTGAGTTGGCCCACCTGCCACTTAACATGTCTTTTGAGTTCTGGTCACTGGTAAGAGATGGCATAGGTTCAAGCCAATGCTTTTCGCCAAACATCCCTCATGGAATTTTGCGCATACTAGCTCTTTTCTCTTCCTCAGTTTTGCTACTGAGTCTTTGGTACAATAATTTAGTTTTCATATAAATATGCCACGTGTACTTCAATTACTTCCCTAGTGAAATAGAGAGCACCAAATTGTTGTCTGTCCATTTTTGACTATAATGTTCAAACAAACACACACAGCCACACTCTCACAACCCCACACACACACGCGCACGCTACAGCTAGTGATAAAACATACTCGTACAGTCAGAACACTATTGAAAGCGGAGGCATGCACATCGACAGACAGGCACACACACACACACACACACACACACACACACACACACACACACACACACATACACACACACAAAGACACACACACACACACTGGTGCACGTCCATGCAAGAAAACAAGGAGCAAAGAACCATAATGATAACAATTAGTGTGCAAGCATGATAAGTCTTGTGACTTGAAAGTACGTGTAACATACACTGTACTAAAATCCGTAGATCTGTAACAGTAAGAATAAGATAATAGAATACTTTGGTATTTTTTATTCTAATAAAACACCACCAGACCTTATTAAGGAAATACTCGACAGCAAATTATGTGGGGCAGAATGGAGAACAACGAACAATACGTACCCATAAAATCAAGGCATTGGCTGGCCTAAATATGACAGAGTGTGTATGACGGCAGCTAGATTCTAGTGATCGTAAGCAATGACGGACCATTACCCACATCAACCTCTGAACCAGGGACAACTCCTCCTAGTATCCAGGTAACAGAATGCCTAGTCGTAATGTTTAAGGGGATCCCTACGGATAGATGGACGTGAAAAATATATGTTGTTCTGAAATACATGCGTCCTTCCTGAATTAAGTTAGGCCCTATAATATCTAATTCAAAAATATGAAATTTTCCATTTTCGAAAGTTAATATAACGTACGTATTTAAGTATGGAAGTTGCAAATGAACCAAAAAGAAGTTTTTCATGCCTGTAATTTGGAAGGCGACAAGGACTTGAAAATACCAGGCTGGAAACTGAAGCAAGAAGTGGGTGGGGCATTCATCGCTGAAGAAATATGTTGGTTAATTGTGGATTTGGAAGAGAAGTAGCGGAATAAGTTATTGTTTATTGAGTCAAGGGTTGTCACAGAAACATTTTGGGAGGAAAAGTGTGAACACAACACACGATTTGGAAATCAGCTGAAACCATGGCAATGGGGCTCTCGAGGCCTAGAGGTAAAGTGTTCGCCTCTCAACTTGCATGCAATAGGTCTTGGGTTTGAAACTTGAGAGCGTACTTTTACCTCCTTTCCTGCTCTCTAACAATAATCTGGCGTCTGCTTTCGTCTCCACTTTCCACCCCACCCCCCCAAAAAAAAGAAAAAAAAAAAAAAGAAAAGATAAATAAATAAATAAATAAATAAATAATCTAATTTGCCCCTGCCACTGGGCTCCGGATTCTTTCTGCTGCTTTTCTACTGATACTCCTTGGCTCTTTCTTACTGCTGTCTTTCAGCCACACCCCTTCTCGGATAAGGGAAAAAATTCTCGGAGGTTCCGTGTGCAAGTTGCGCACGTTATAGATCCCTTTGTGATCCTAAAATCGATAAGAGTAGGCTTCAGACACAAAATTATCATTCCTACGACCTAACTGAAAATGTGTCCCTCGCGCTCATATGACCTTTTGCAGTTGCGAGCGCCGTAAAATACTAACCAAAAAATAATTTTTGAAAAAAGGAAACCATGTCAGCTCAAGTTGCCTTGGGAAGTAGACGGTCTCTAGTATGCACAAAAAAAGGTATCTGTTCATAATCTGCCCGCGAGTTCTAATTTGGACAATGAGTCAACGCGAGGGTTTTGGTCTCCAATTTTGATATCTAGATCTTGTTACACACACACACACACACGCACACACACACACACACTCACACACACACACACACACACACACTCAGAG